GCCAATTGGCAGCATCATGATAGACAGTGAAGAGATTGAGGTTGTTAACAGTTACAACTTGCTCGGTTCCACAGTCAACACACTTGGTACCAGCAGTCAGGAAATCAAAAGACAAATTGCATTGGGAAAGTCTGCTGTGAGGGGCCTCGCCAGAATACTGAAGAGCAACGATATCAGTCTTGAGACTAAGGTGCACCTGATCCAGACCATGGCCTTCACAATTACCTGCTATGCATCAGAAAGCTAGACAATAACTAAGGATAATAGAAGAAGAATTGATGCCTTTGAGCTATGTTGCTGGAGAAGACTATTGATTATACCATGGACTGCCAGGAAAACAAACAGGTTCATCTTAGAGGAGATGAAAAACCAGGCTGCTCTGAAGCTCTGTCTGACATACTTTGGGCATGTTGCAAGGAGGTACCAGTCCTTGGAGAGGGACATTATGCTTGGGAGGGTGGAGGGACGGCACAGGTGGGGAAGACCCTCAACTTAACAACAACAACAACAACAGACATTTGACTGTAACACTGTGACACTGTTGTGTCAAATGCATTAATAGTTGGTTACCTAGTGCGGACAGAGGGTGGGGTAGAGCTCGCTGATTAAAACAAGCTTGGAAGCAGGAGTGGCATCCTTTTCTGTAATAGCTTGCCTCTGGAAACCCTACGAACCTGGAGAGAGGATGAAAGACACACAAGCGTTGAGGACTCTCCTTCATAGGGTCGCTATGAGTTGCCTGTGACTCGATGGCACTTAACAACAACAGCAACCAGAGACATTTGTCTGTGTGGATCATAACAAACTGTGGCTAACTCGGAGAAGAATGGGAATCCCAGAACACTTGATCGTGCTAATGTGAAACCTACACTTGGAGTAAGAGGCAATTGTCAGAACAGAGCAAGGAAACACTGCATGGTTCAAAATTGGGAAGGGCGTATGCCAAGGATGTATCCTATCTCCATACCTTTTCAACCTGTATGCAGGACAGATTATCCAAGAGGCTGGGCTCTATGAGGAATCACTTGTTATGCATTAGAGAGTTGGACAATGACTAGGGAGGATAGAAGGAAAATTGATGCCTTTGAGCTGTGGTGCTGGAGAAGAGTATTGAGAGTACCATGGACTGCTGGGAAAACAGATTCATCCTGGAGAGGGTTAAACCGGGTGGCTCCTTGGAGGCAAGGATTCTGGGGCTTTATCTGACATACTTTGGACATGTAAGGAGGGACTGGTCCTTGGAGAGGGCCATCATGCTTGGGAGGGTAGAGGTACAGTGCAGGAGGGGAAGACCCTCTATGAGGTGGACCGATTCAGTGACTGGGGTAATCAGGATAGGTGTGTCAGAGGCAGTGTGATTGGCGCAGGACAGAGCAGGGTTTAAAGCTGTTGCAAGTGACTCGATGACACACAACAACAACAACAACAATAGACATTCAAATTGAGATATTTGGCGGGCTTAAAAATGTTTCGTGACCTAGGAGAAGAGAGGAACTGGAGCTATAAATTTAAGACTTGGGTTATATATGGTATTTCCAGCTATGAGATTTAATGAGATTGCAATTATTGTGTACTGCCCTTGGGAATTGTCTTTTATGGAGGAGGCAGTGTTGGACAGTCAAAGGTGATGCCTGAGAAGGGGCACAGAGTCTAGCAATGTAACAGTCATTGATAAGTTTAACAAGAGCTTTTTTTTATTATTTTTTGTGTGTGTGGTGTGTGAATGGATGGACAATTGAAACCAGGACTATTTTTGAGAATTTTTGAGACATTTTGTCCCAAAGAGGAGTAGAAATTAGGGATATTAGAATTCTTTATTGTTACATTGTTAGTTTTCTTTCTTCACCTCCCCTCCAGCCTTCCTATGTCCATATTCAGAACTAAACATGGTCTCCTCTTCCCAACCTTCCAAAAAGGCACTATTAACACTGGACAATGAGAAGAACAGATGTGCTCTAATCTGGGTTCCATCTTCCAAGTGATTATGGTAAACAACAACAACAAAAAATCTACACTGTAGTAGTTGTGTGCCGTTGAGTCGGAAATGACTCATAGCTGACCCTCCAGCGAGTTTCCAGAGGCAGTAAATAGCACAGGAGATTGCCTGTCCTCCTGAGGAGCAGCTAGTGGATTTGAACAGTATGTCTTTAGAGTTGGAAAAACGGAAGTAATTTAGCCTAGAGAATAGAGACTTTCTGAGAAAGACTTTAGTTGTCATAAAGTATCTGTTGACAGACTTAAGATCCTTCAATGAAAATTGCAATGGGATTGCCCAGAAAGTGATGAGGTAATGAAGTAATGAGTAACTTTTGACATGATGGTTATCTAACTTTTGAAAATAAGAGTCTCTTTTTTGTGTGTATGTTGTTCTTTGCCTTCAAGTAGAAAATGACCCATAGCTGACCCTTCTGGGTTTTCAGAGGCAATAAATTGCACAGAAGGAGACTGCCCATCCTCCTGCGGAGCAGCTGGTGGATTCCAACTGCGTGTCTTTGGGATTGCTGTGCAGCTTCTTACCACTAGGCCACTGGTGCTTCCTATAGCATATTAATACCTTAGTGAGCACTTTCATAGTGGTTGATATACTGTAATGATAGACTTTGGAAATAGCTACAACACACACTTAGAATCTCACAGTCACATAATCAACCTTTTTACTAAATACAAGCATGTTTTCATTCACAAACAGCTAAATATAGCATTTTTCACATTTTTTATAGTGCACAACAAAGTGAGGAAAAGTATACAGTACATTTTATTCTGGAATATGAGACAATCTAATCCAACATGCAGTTGTGGTCTTTGTTACAAGTTAATCTTTTCTTTACCTAAGTAGTAAAATAGCTTCTAGAGCTTTATCCTTAGTATTATATTAACACCTGATTTTTTTTTCACACTTATTTTCTAAAACCCACTTATTGCAGTGACAACAGCACTGAATGCTACTAAAATAATTTGTAATATTTCTAGGACCCCTTTAAGCAATTAAGCTCAGTTACCTCTGCTGGATTTATGCGGAGTATTTTAAAACCTGCCTAAAAAATTCAAGGAATGGGAAAAGTATACATATAATGTATTTTTGTAAAAAACAACAACAACAACAACAAAAACCAAACAAACAAAAAAAACCCCACACCAAAAACATAGAGGATTGCTGATATCCTTTTTTGAATTGACAGTATATAGTCAACTCATTTAGCCACTGGGTAATCTTGCTTTCTAAAACTTCTAAACATAAGTATATGTTGATGACTTTGCTGCTGTTGATGTTGTTGTTAACCCAATTTACCATCTTTGTCTTCTATATTCAAGAAGCTGGCTACTTTATTACCTCAGATAATGTGAAATGAATGTGAAGACGATAATCAGTTCACTTGCAGCTGATGTTGTGATTCTGTCCAAGACGAGTTTGCTCATCCAGCTTGAGGCACAGACAACAGGATAGTTTTCCATCATTTTAATTTGGCTTCTTTATTCCGACTGAATGAAGTAAATCCCTAAACTCTCAGATACAGTCACAATTATACTGAAGCCATTCTCAGGCTTTCCTATCACAATGGATATGAGAAACCTGACTCTAATCAGGGTAGTTTTCTTTCTGTGAAAAGTATGGCTTTTGCCTTGCTGAACTGGCTAGTCAAAAAATAGTTTAATGCATCACCTCTCTTCAATAAGATAATGGACTTTTCAAACCAGCCATTCTAAATTTCTGATGCAGTTATTTGTTCACCTGAGAATTAAGAGCTGATTCTCTACAGCAGACAGGAACCCAGGGTACATATATGGCAAATAGGTGACCAAGGTTGTTGAAAAGTATTCTATTGCCACCCCAGTCCCCATGCTGTATTTGGTTCCTTTCAAGAAAATGTCCTTTAGTGTTTCAATGATAAGTACACTTATAAAAGTGCCTACACAGTTCCAGTGTGTTTTCAGTTGTACAATTATTTACATGTTCAAAGCCCTCTTGCCAATATTACCTGAATAGGTCTTACCTTTGATTCATCTCTAGGTTCCCTCAGGATTATAGTTGAGTTGTAATCAATAAGGAAAACATATCCTAACATGTAGAGAATGTTTATTTATAGGCAAGTCTTTTCCAAAGCAAACAACTTAAAAACAGTTTGTTCATCTGACAGTAGAACAGAAACTAGGAGTCAGGTTCTTGACCTTGGCCAAATGAGTCACCTGGCTCATAGTTAACTCACCTGTAAAATGGGTATAAGATCTCAGAGGCCTGTTGTGATGATAAAATAAGGTAACACACGAGAGACTAAAATGTAAACTGTGATGTGTAAGATCTTTTAGTGTTCCTCTTTAGCAAGTACTCAGTACACAGTGGATGAAGGAATGTCTCAGGGCTCTTTTCAGAGGCAATTCCTGTCATCCAGACTACATTTGCCAGAAGGTTTAGGTTCTAGTATTTCTTCCTTCATTTATACAATAATTTGCATGGGATCATTTCCCCCATCTTCTGGCTAATTATTCTAATACAAGGGTGAATTTTTTTTTAGTTATATATAACAGTGTATGAATAAACTTTCTTTTCATAGTGACATCATTTTTGCTGGAATGCCAGACCTTGAACAAAAGTTTCAGCAAATAGGTAGTTTATACCCCTGTTTTATGGATGACTGTTTAGAAGCTAAACCCAGTACACACATTCTGTGTAGGTTATTCTCACTGAATAAGTTTAACTTATAGTCATTTTTAGTTACCAATGTGATACTCCCTCACCCCTTTATATCATTTGTGTTCATAACCTATGAATAAGCTGAAATATCAAGAGACAGTTGTCCTGCCTTTAGGTGTATTTTGCTGGGGCCTAGTTCCTTAAGCCTTAGCCCCTTAATATGAAGTCAACAAAGGTCACAAAACAGTCCTTCAGTCATAGTGCTCAGGCCTCACCATCTGCCCACATATGGGCCTTCAGGCTCCCCCTGAGAAGGAGAATTGGTTGGTGTTCGCTTGGTATCCAAAATGGAGTTTGTGTTCTCTCAGTCACACAGGAATTCTATTTGCTTTCATCGCTTTTAAGTTCAGGTTGGAAAGTATGTTTTGCAATTCAGAGGCCTGACTAACACAAACACCTCCTCTCTGATTTGACAACCTCTTCTGAAGAGTGAACTACATTTGGTACAAATCCACTCTTCACCCCTTCCCAGCCCTCCTGGATTGTAATATCCCCCCTTTTCACCAGCTCATATATGTCTCTTGTCAGGTCTGTGAAGGCCTTTTCCACATTAATGGCATCTCGGGCTGATGTTTCAATATACTTCATACCATATGCAGCAGCCAGTTTCTCTGCCTCATGTCGAGTCACTTGCCTCTGTGTATCCAGGTCACACTTATGACCCACCAGAACAAATACAATTTGGTAGGGCTGAACATGTACTTTGGTCTCTTCTAACCATTCATTGACATTCTGGAAGGACCTGCGGTTGGTAATGTCAAATAAAAGAAGACCACCTACTGAGTTCCTGTAGTAGGCCCGAGTGATGGATCTGAAATACAAGAAAGAAGCAAAGAATAAAGGCATGCTGAAACCTTTGCAATTCTGTTAACTCAGATACTGTATTCTGGTATTTTTCATTACTGAGATAGTGAACAGTATTGGTTTTGGTGGTGGTGGTTTTTTTGGTGGTTTTTTTTTTTTTTTAACAGCCGTTTTGCAATGAGGCATTTCCCTCCCTCCCCTTGATTTGGCAACTAGAAATGACCCTAGAAGTTGAACCACAAGTAACTGCCCCACTCCTAAAAGCGAGTAACTGATAAAGTAGTCATGAGGAGGAAAACTTTATGATGGCTAACAAAATATTCATAAGTATAAAGGTATCTTGAAATATTTCCCATGGTTTTTTCCATTGGCTATTGCCACACTTCTTTCCTTCTATGATTTTAATCAAGTCTTCTGTGAAGAGGAATATATATATATATATTTAAGTGATTTTCCTAGGCATGTGAGACTAGTAAAAGAAGGTATAGAGGAGGACTCTAGAGCCCTGACTGCAGAGGCCTTGAGGGAAGTGGGGGAGGACAGCTCTCTCAACCCTACTTTCTGACACATTCCAGAGAGAGGCCACCATCTGGGAAAACTACCAGCACTTTCAGATCTATTGGAACTTCAACATAATGGAGTCTTCTTAAGACATAAAGAAATCTCTTCACAGCAGCCATACTCCTATCCATTTTTAGCCAATAACTACATTTTCTGATGCTGGATGATCTATTTTCATCTTTACTTTTACATCAAAGCCTAGTTCTTAAAGTACTTTTCTCATTACAGCTGTTATCATATGCCTAAACCTGACAATACTTCATATTCTAGAGATCTTCAGCCCTCAGGTCAGGGGAGGAAAGGGACTCTGATCTTCCTCCAGGGACTTTTGCTCAAGATTGCATAAGAAACTATAGATGTTGAAGAAAATCTTGGTGGTTGTGTACTGTAGCATTGAGCTGTCCCTCTGGTGGGTTTTCAGAGGCAGTTAATCACACAGGAGGAGAATGCCCATCCTTCTCCCATAGATTAACTGGTGGCCTCGAACTACATGACTTCAGGATTGCAGCACAGCTTCTTGCCATTAGGCCACCAGAGAAAATCTACTAGTTGTCTTAAATAAAAATAACTTTAGATAGGTGTAGGAATGAGTCTTCATGTATGAAAAAATAGGCATAAATTATGATTAAAATAAATTTCTACAATAAGATGGTTTGAAAATAAGACACAAAGAAAGCACACTGCCTTTATGTGACAGGGCCCTGGGCAAATGCACAAACCACATGCCTTTAGTTTAAGGGAGCTCTGAAGGCCTAATGGTATAAAAGCTGTGCTGCAATCTCAAAGGTAAGTGGTTCAAATGAATCTACCAGCTGCTCTGTGGGAGAAAGATGGGCAATTCTCCTCCTGGGCGATTTACTGCCTCTGAAAACCCATGGGAGGGTCAGCTATGAGTTGGTTCCAACTTGAAGGTACTCAACAACAACATAGGGTTTCTGAGGCTGTGAATCTTTCTGGCAGCAGACTACCTTATCTTTTTTCTCAGCACCTGAGAGATTCCAAGCACTGGCATTTGGGTTAGCAGCTCAATACTTCGCACTTTATGACTCTGCTGGAACAAGGGAGACCAGCAACAAATAGTTGTCATGATCAGCTCCCACATCTTTTCAGTAGGATCTAGGATTTACTTTCAAAATAACCCAAGATTTTCCTGAAAGATGGCATTTATTGAAATAGTTTTCCTTAGAATATAGATTAAGGGCGCTCTGGTGGCCTAGTGGTAAGAAGATGCACTGCAATCTCAAAGGCACGCAGTTAGAATCTACCAGATACTCTGAATGGGAAGCATGGGCAGTCTCTTCTTATTCGATTTACTGCCTCTGAAAACCTGTTGAAAGGTCAGCTATGGGCTAATTCTGAATCGACGGCACATAACATTTGCTGTACTTTTTAAACAGAATAAAACTTCATGTATTTTATGAATTTTTAGAAAAACTTCATTTTACGGGCCTTAATTTTTAATGCCGTAATTATGGCATTTTGCTTAAAGCCTATTAGAGCTTATAAGAGAATACAGAAAATTGATTTCTGGATTGAATTTCTGGATGCTAAAAGCATCTCTGGTTTCCTTTTGTGTGAAGATTTGTGGAGAAAATTAGACATGAACAAAAAAAGTTTTGATTTGTGTAAAGCTGGATTTTGAAAAGTCAAATGATAGAATGGGAAGTTCTTTTACAGCATTTGTGACAGGGTTTGTGTTCTTAATCCAAAAGGAACTCTTGAAAGGAGTGTAATTCATATAGCATTTGTTCTTCTGAGACTGAGCTCCTTCAGCATGATGCTCTCTAGACTCTTCCATGTTATATGGGGTGTTGTGTTTTGTTTGTTCTTTTGTTTTATTTTTGTTTTTTGGGGTTTTTTGTTATATGGTATTTTAAAAAAATTATTACAAAGCAGAATAAAATGTCAAAAAAGGTGAAAAAATCAGTATGAGCCAATAAAAAGCAGTTTGTATAAATAGGCTCTTCCTACAGAAAGAAATGCCAATAAACAATACCTTCTTGAATTACAATATGAGAAGTTCAAAGTGACCTTGAATCTTGAAATTCTACCAACAAATATATTGCTTGTAGAAGTACAGAGTTGGAAACAGCTTAGTCTGTAGTGATCTTTTCACCTCTTGTCAACTAATACCTTCTATGCTCATGTAGGGATTGAGATATGGCTAATTGAGTCTGTTTTGAGCTGGTTCTTGCTGATTTACCCAACTTCTGTTCAAACTGCTCTCTGCAAAGTGTCCTGTATACCTTCTCTTCTCTCTCTGTCTTTGCTTGGACCGTCCTACCCACCAGGCTCCATCTTTCCCTGTATTCAGTTACAAATGCTACATGCTATCAAAGAAGAGTAACAGGTGTAAGAGAAAACCCCAAATCTATTCCTGTGTCACCTATTATGGTGCAATCATTACAGTAGGGGGAAAGCATAGAAACATAAGCAGACACCAGACACTCTTTTGCGTAACTGTTTATTTCCCCCAGGAGGGAAAGACTGTGTCTGTTTTGCTCACTGTGGTATCCTCTAGTTTCCCCAGAAACAAGCAGGATGTGTAGCACATAGTAGATGGTCATGTAATGTGTGCTTCTTTGCAGGAGGCAATCAACAAATTTATCAATGTTTAACTTCATGTTAGAAAAACCTGGAATATTTGTTGTAAGTATGTGGTATAAGGACCGAGATTAAAATGTCAGTTCTTACAAGTTTATTGGCTAGTGGGTTGGAGGGGCAAATCAGGTTGGTGGAGTTAGGATGCAAAAACAATATACGTGTTATTGACAGGCCTTCCCTGCCAGGGTGCTGCTCTTCCGGCATTAATTTCCCCGACAGACCCTCAGTGTCACCCCCTTCGGGGAACTACTAGGAACAGCAGGAAAGACTCTCCCCAGACGATGTGCTATCCCTTGGGACCCTCCCACTTCGCTAGCGGGCCCAGGATGCGCTCCCACCTGAACCGCTCCTGACCCGCAGTATCCCAGATCTGGAGCTTGATGCGTTTCCCGGGCTCGATCTCCACCAGGCGGGAGAAGAAATCCACCCCCACAGTGGGGTCCGAAACCTGGGCAAAGCGGCCTTCAGTGAAGCGGCGGATCAGGCAAGACTTGCCTACAGTGGAATCCCCGATGACAATGAGCCGGAACTGGTACAGCCAGATGGCCTCCATGGCCGCAGCTCGACAGGTTTCCTTCACCTGGGCCAGGGGCAGCAGGAGGAAACGTCCCTCAGAGATCTAGCTCGGTCGAAATCACATCGCTGGCCAAGGAGCCCAAGGCGAGGTAGGCCCAGGCACCGCGAGAGCAGAGGGATGGATGCAGCGCTCAGAGGTGATGAAATGGCAGCAGCATCAGCACCACGCACTCTGACTCATCACTGACTACCGGGTTACTGTAATTCCTCGCATAGATGCGACTCCAAGGGCCTCTGTCAGAGCACCGCACTGTCTCTAAGAGGAGCGCATGAAGAAATGGCTGCGGGCTGGGGGAGGGGAGAATAGGACACACCTTTCCCAAGTCCACTCAACCCACTCTTTCAATTAAAAACAAAAACAAAAACAAAACAAACAAAAAAAACCAAACCAAAACACAACTCCCTACTGTCCATATACTGGCAACATCAAGAAAAATGGAGAAAAGAGAAACTGTCAGTGATTTCATCTTACTTGAATCCACAATCAACACAGTTGGTACCAGGACTCAGGAAATCAGGAAAGATACTGCACTGGGACAGTCTGTAATTAGGGGTCTTTGCAAATTACTGAGAAGTACTGATGTCAGTTTGAGGACTAAAGTGTGTCTGTTTCAGGCCACGGTCTTTTCAGTCACTTGCTATGCATCTGAGAACTGGACAATGAATAAGAAGGCAGAAGAAGAATTGATGCCTTTGAGTCAGGGTGTTGGGGAATAATGCTGAATATCCCATGGATTGCCAAAAGAAGGTGCAGCCAGAGTGCTCCTTGGTGACAAAAATGATAAAGCTTTAACTGACATACATACTTCAGGCATGTTGCTAGAAGAGACTATTCCCTGGAGAGGGTCATCATGCTTGGAAAGGTGGAGGGTCAGTGAAAGATAGGAAGACCCTCAACCAGGTGGACTGACACAGTGACTGAAGCAACAGACTTGAGTGTGTCAGAGATGTGAGGATGGCACAGGATAGAACAGGATTCAGATCTACTGTTCATAGGGTTGCTATAAATTGTGCTTGACTCAGTGGTACCTAACAACAATTGTCTAAGTTGCAAATGTTTTTAGTTTTTTTTTTCTTTGAAACTAGTGAAATAACTCAAAATATATGCAAAATAGGGAAATGGGTTTTTTTTTATGTTCTTATAAAAGGGAGCCTTACTGGAACAAAAGAGCTCAGCTATAAATCAAAGCATCAGAGGTTCAAATCCACCTACGGTTGCCACGGCAGCTAGATATAGCAATGTACTTTATGAACATTTGAGCATAGAAAGCCCTGTGGAGCAGTTTTTCTCTGGTACTAGTAGGAACAGACTTACTTCTCTGGTATGAGTATTTCTCTGATATATGAGTATATGTACTTATTTCTCTGTATGAGTAGAAATTATATGTTTTATGTACCATTGATTCAGAACCAACTCATAGTTAGCCTTCCAATGGATTTTCAGAGGCAATTTAATCACATGGGAGGATCTTTCTTTCAATTTGAAGCTTCCCATCTTTCTTCCACAAAGCAGCTGGTGGATTTGAACCACAGGCCTTCAAGTTGGCAGCACAGCTCCTTACTCACTAGGCCACCAGAGAGCCCTAGAAATGATATGGGAGTAGAAATGATATATGACCTGAAATAACATTTGACAACATAAACATATATTGTGTATACATTTACTTTCTATATTTTTACAGAGATTATACCAAACTGGGTATTACTCTGACATTTGCTTTTTTCAATTAATAGAGTCATTGGAATCCCGCAATGTTCAACTTTTTTCCCCTTTCCCAGTAATGAGAAATTTAGATTATGTTCAAAATTTTAATTTACTAAAATGCTAAAAAATTATCTTTATATTATTTTTAAAATGTAATTTTAGTGAGAGTTTACACATTTTCAGCCCATCCCCTACTCTACACACTTTGCAATCCATGTCTTGTTGCAGATTGTCATACAAAAAAGTCTAATCATACATTCCTTTCAGATAGCCCTTTCCTTAACTTAGTCCACTGTAATGTTTGTTATCTAGCCATTGTTTTCCTGTTACTCCTCCCTCATATCCATCCTATTTTCATAACAATGGTCTTATGCAGTATTTGTCCTTTTGACTGAGATATTTTACTCAGCATAATGTCTTCCAGACTCATCACTCATCAATGTTGTGTAATATTCTAGAACTTCATTGGTTTTCACTGCCATGTGATATTCCACTGTTTGAGTGCATCACAGTTTTTCTCTCCATTTGTTTGTGGATGAATACTTGGACTGCTTCCATCTCTTTGCTATTGTGAATAATCCTGTAATAAACATGGGGGTGTATATATCTGTTTGTGTCACAGCTCTCCATTGGGGCATTTTCCTAGTAGTGAGTTAACTGGGTCAAATGGTATTTCTACTTTCAACTTTTTGAGAATGTGCTAGACTGCCTTCCATTTTATATTCCCACCAACAGTGAATAAGAGTTCTACATCTTAGACAACATTTGTTTTCAGTTCTGTTGAACTTTGCTATTGTAGTGGAGTGAGATGATCTCTCATTATTGTTTTGATTTGCTTCTCTCTAATAACTAAGGATTTTGAACATTTCTTCATGTATTTATTGGCCATTTGAATTTCTTCCTTGGTGAATTCTCTATTCATAACTTTTGCCCATTTTGTAATTGGGTTCTTTGTCTTTTTCTTGTGGAGGTGCTGGTTATCATTGTTAGGTGTCATCAAGTTGAGTACGACCCAAAGCAGCCCTATGAACAACAGATCTTAACTCTGTCCTATTCTGCGCTATCTTCACACGTTCTGACATACCAGAGCCCATTGCAGCAGTCAATGTGTCAATCCACCTAGTTGAGGGTCTTCTTGTCTTTCACCAACCCTCCACCTTTCCAAGCATGTTGTCCCTCTCTAAGGAACAGCCTGTCATAGCACTATGCCCAAAGTATGTGAGATGAAGCTTTATTATCTTTGCCTCCAAGGAGCACTTGGCTGCACTCTTCCCAAGACATATCTATATGTTCTTTTGGCAGTCCATGGGATATTCAGTACTCGGACACCACAGCTCAAAGGCATCAATTTTTCTTCTCTCATCCTTAATCATTCATTGTCCAGCTCCCAGATGCATAGCAAGTGATTGAAAAGACCATGGCCTGAATCATGCACACGTTAGTCCTCAAACGGACATCATTGCTTCTCAAAAATTTGGAGAGATCCTTGACTGCAGACTTTCCCAGTGCAGAATGTCTCCTGATTTCCTGACTGCTGATTCCAAAGGTGTTGATTGTGGATCCAAATAAAAGAAAATGATTGTCAACTTCAAGCTTTTCTCCATCTATCATGATGTTGCCTATAGGTCTAGAGGTAGGAATTTTATTTTCTTGATGTTGAGATGCAATCCATGTTGAAGGCTGCATTCTTTGATCTTTTTCAACAAGTGTTTCAAGTCCTCATTTTCAGTAAGCAAGGTTCTTTCATCTGCATAATGCAGCTTATTGATGGGTCTTCCTCTGATCTTGATGCTACATTCTTTCTCCTGCATAGAGTCTAGGTTCTTGAATAATTTGCTCAATATACAGATTGAATAGGTATGGAGAGAGGACACAACCCTGAGATACTCCTTTCTTAATTTTAAACCATTTAGTGTTCCCTTGCTCTGTTCACACAATAACCTCTTGGTCAAGGTATAGGTTTCTCATGAGCACAATTAAATGTTCTGGGATTCCCATTCTCCTCAATGTTATCCATAATTTGTAATGATTGACACAATCAAATGCCTTTGCATACTTAATAAAGTACAAATAGACATTCTTCTGGTATTCTTTACATTCAGCCAGGATACATCTGACATCAGCAATGATATCCCTGGTGCCACAGCCTCTTCTAAATCCTGCTAAAACTTCTGGCAATTCCCTATCTATGTACTGTTCTAGTAATTTTTTTAAAATAAAATTTTTATTTTATACTGGTTTACTGACAAAGCTCATATACCTTGTTTTTTTAAACAGCAGATCTTTACCATTTCCTTTACTCACCCCTCTCTCCACCCATTAAATCATGCAACTCTATGATTACCAAGCCACTAACCCCTCTTCTTGGAAGCAGAAATGGCAACCACTTCCTAAACAACATTCTTCTGGAAACTCTATGAACTTTGATAAATTACGATAGTTATAGAAAAGCTTCAGGCTTTTTGTTCATAGTTGCTATGAGTTGTGCTAGACCCGATGGCAATCAACAACGACAACAATAACACCCCTCCTCACTCCTCTGCTCCCACCCTCCCCACCCTAGATCCTTATATATGTTTTACTAGTTATGTATTTCTACAATAATGGTTTTATATTGTATTTGTACTTATGGGACTGAGTTAGTCCACTCAGCATAATGTTTTCCAGTCCCTTCCAAGTTAGTAATTTACAAAATCATTATTCCTATGTGCTGCGTAGTATTCCATCGTGTGAATGTACCATAATTTCTCAATCCATTCAATTGTGGCTGGACATTTGGGCTGTTTCCATGTTCTTGTGATGGTGAATAATGCTGCTATGAACACTAGTATTTAAATCTCTATTTGAGCCTCAGTTCTTACTCTCTCAGGGTATATTTCAACCAATGGAATAGCTTGGCCATACAAAATTTCTATGTTCAACTTTTCGAGGAAGCGCCAAACTGCCTTCCAGAGTGGGTGTACCATTTTACAATACCACCAACAATATATAAGAGTTCCTATCTCTCCACATCCTCTCCAACATTTATTACTTACTGTCCTGTTAAACTTTGCCACTGCTAGTGGAGTGAGAGGGTATCTCATTGTGGTTTTGATTTGCATCTCTCTTATTGCCAGTGATTGTGAGTGTCTGTTGGCCATCGACATTTCTTCCTCTGTGAAAATTCTTTCTACGTCTTTTGCCCATTTTTGTAATTGTGTGATCAGTCTTTTTCTTGTGAAGGCCCTGTAGGATCCTGTAAACTTTTGATATGAGTGAGAGCCTTGTCTGAACTGGTATTGCCAAATGATTTTTCCCAGTCAGTAGGTTCCCCACCCCACCCTCTCTGTTGGAAAATGTTTTTGATGTGCACAGAGATTTAATCTTTAGAAGGTCCCATTCATCAATTTTATCACTTCAGATTGTGCATTTCTGGCTGTATTTGGCAGTCTGTTTACACTATAGAATAGATTGTGTAAGCTTGATCCCAGTTTGTCTCTCATGAACTTTATGGTTTGGGGCTTTACTCCCAGGTCTCTGATCTACCTTGAGTTGCTTTTTGTGCATGGTGTGAGATGT